AGTAATTGCAAAACTTTATTTTTGTAGATTGCTTGTTTTATTTTGAGATGTCTTCTTCAGGATCTAGTCGAAGTGGAGATTCGGGTTGGAAATATGGATATAATCCGAATCCAAATGACAAAAATTGAAGCAATTTTTGTGAAAAGGATACAAAATGGGGCATAAACCGGTTTAAGAAACATCTTGCTGGTATTAAAAGGGGTGTTGCCCCTTGTAAAAATGTTCCTGAAGCTATCAGAGAGGAGATTAAACAATATATGAGTTTTGTACAACAAAAACAGGAACAAAATCCATGTCATTTGAATAGATCTATTTCTGCTACTTCTAGAAGAAGTGATCCGGGTTGGAAGTATGGTTATAACTCAAAACCAAACCATAAAAATAGTACAAGGTGTAATTTTTGTGAAAAAGATACCAATGGGGGTATTAACTGATTCAAGAAACATCTTGATGGTATTAAAGGGAATGTTGCTTCTTGTAAAAAGGTTCTTGAAGCTATTCGGGATGAGATTAGACAACTTTTGAATTTAAAAGAACCAGAAAATGATGAAAATGAGCCTTGTTCTATGGAAATATCTTCTCCAGGTTCTTCTAGAAGTGGTGATCTGGGTTGGAAGTATGGTTATAAGCCAAATCCGAATGACAACAATCGTATTAAATGTAATTATTGTAGAAAGGATACTAATGGGGGCGTTTACCGGTTTAAAAAATACCTTGCTGGTATTAAGGGGGATATTGCCCCGTGTAAAAATGTTCTTGAGGCTACCAGGGAGGTAATTATACAATATTTGAGTTCAGGGAAGTGCAAAAAGATAGAAAAGGGTAGAGGAGCCAAGACTCCTCGGGCCTCATCTGCGCATATTAGTAAGAGAGAGGTAGAAGAAGAGGAGGAGGAAGAGGCAGATTCAGAAGAACCAGAGGAGGACAAGCATTAGATTGAAAAGGGAGATGATTCTGATGATGATGGCCTCGAATCTAATGCATATGATGAATCTTACCCTATTTCTTCTGATGACGATGATGATGATGATGACTGAAGACTCTTGGTGTTGAGTGTTGACTGTTGTGTTGAGTGTTTACTATTGTGTCCTAGACTGTATATTTTCTAAATTTCTGTATATTTTCTTTTTTTAATTTTTAGTTTCTACTTTCTACTTTCTAGTTTACTATTTAACTTTTGAGTGTATAGTCGACAATGTATCAGACTATTAGTGTATGCTTGTATGGTCTTACTGTTTTAGCATTGTATGGAAATATGGATTATGGTCTTATGGATTATCTAAATTCTCTTATGGACTTCAATTTTTTTTTTTTAACTGGGATTATGGTCTTATGGATTATCAAAATTCTTTTCGATTATGGTCTTATGGATTATCAAAATTCATATGCAGTCATCAGTTTTTTTTTTTTAACTGGGCCGCCCAGGTTCTTGGCGCCCGCTTAGGCGTTGGGCGGCTTGGATCCCATGGCCGCCTGAGTGCCACCTAGCGCTTTTTGAAACACTGATTATGCAAAGATTTGAAATCAGAGAGTAGACAACATTCTGCACTCCTTTGAGCGTCTGTCTAAGGGCATCTGCTACAAGGGTGAGAAATGACACATATGGGGTACCATTTATTAGTACTGAGAACACTGCTGAAGCTACATAACATTTTCCTTTGGCTAAATCGCATAAGGCCAGTTATTTTGTCAAGAAAGCCCCAGGTACATGATCTACGGTTTTTCCTGTTATATTTTCCTAATAATTCCTGGGGGCTTTTTCTTTTGCCTAGAGTGTATACATTCATGAAGAATAAGTGTTCCATCAAGAATCTGTCTCACCCTCACTAATGCTGACTGTGATTGCGATATAACCTGATCCAATACTTCCTGCAACCTTGATGCCATCACCTTCATGATAATCTTCTAGCCCCACCCAACCCAACCCCCCCAACCCCCCCCAAAAAAAGGAAAAAAAAAAAACCCAAAAGAAACAAACCTTTAGGTTTTAGATCTCAGATGTTCTCAACGCCTTCCTTCTTGGGGCCCAATGCTATGAACGAGCGGTTGATTTCTTGATTCTCCACTTTTGAAAAAATGATTAAAAGAAGTCTAGAAAAAATGATTAAAAGAAGTCAAATATATGTTGACTTTATGTCAATGGCCAAACTTGTTCAATATTAATTCATGTTGAGCCTTTATTTTCTGATACCATGTTTGTTGCTTTTACTGATGCAATCTGATGCTTACATATTTTTTGGAGCCTTCTAATCAAACAAAGAAACAGAAATCAAGAAAATGAATCACACTAAATTTTACAAGGAAGATACTTCTTATTGCATGGAGATGTCTGGCAGCAAGCTCTACAATGGAAAGGCCACGGGCAGGATTTCATAATATGTGTTGCAATTAAATTTTGATTTTGACGTAATTACAATCAACACTAACCCAGATGTAGAGTTTCTCAGTAAAAGGATAATAATGTTTTCTTTTCCCTAGAGTTGGTGGTTGTAGCAATTGGTCATGTTAATGACCCTTAGAGAGTCTATATTGTAAGAAGAAGCCTTATCTTATAAAGCCCTATTAGAAGGCTGTTCTCCAACCATCCACCATCTTTTATAAAGCTTGGTTATGGTCAATGCAACCATGGTAACATTTTAACTAAGATTATGAATTTCTAAAATGGTTGAGATCTGATTTCTCGTGTATTTTATATCAGGGGGCCGGTCATACAATATGCTCTCGGCGCCTAATGTGGAAGCAATTCCATCTACTAGTGCACGTGTGTGTTAGGGTATTTACAATAGTTCTCATGTGGAAAATATATTTACCATATATTTGTATGTTCATCTTCTCTTTATTGCTGCATGCTTGTTTTTCTTTTGTATATTGGTTATATGGAGCTCTTGTAACTAGATTTTAAGTTATTCATTTTTTCGTTGTTCTTTGGTACATTTGCCAGTTATTTTATTGGTAATTATAGAAAAATGACTGATAGTTAAAGGGGGAGCTGAACTTGAAATGTTTTTTTTCTCAGCGTCTCGATTAATTCATCAAACACAAAGATGTTTGTCTCTGGTTCTTGTGATGCAACTGCCCGATTATGGGATACTCGCATAGCCAGCCGAGCAGTCCGGACCTATCATGGGCATGAGGGAGACGTCAACACTGTGAAGTTCTTCCCTGATGGGCAGAGATTTGGGACTGGCTCAGATGATGGCACTTGCAGGCTATTTGATATGAGGACAGGGCACCAGCTTCAAGTTTATTACCAGTCACATGGTGAGAATGAGGTCCCAATGGTGACCTCCATTGCCTTCTCAATATCAGGCAGGCTTTTATTTGTGGGATACTCGAATGGCGATTGTTATGTATGGGACACCATAGTAGCCAAGGTCTCTCTCTCTCTCTCTCTCTCTCTCTCTCTCTCTGTGTTTATTCTTAAACCACCCTGTTACCACTTTATGAGTCTTGGATTCATGTATCCGTATCCCTCCATTGGTTTTTCATTTATTCTCAAACTATCCAGGTAGTGTTTTTGTAGTCCTGAGTTAAATTTCTTTATTTATTAAAAAAAGATCCAGTTAAAATTTTCTCCGTCTTGAGTTTGTATCTCCAAGACAGTAACTCTAGGAGTTCATCATTATGGTAGCCAAATTCATTTTCTTGCCTCAATGCTTTCAGGTTGTTCTGAATCTTGGATCTCTGCAAACCTCACATGAGAGTCGAATAACTTGTCTGGGTATGTCAGCTGATGGAAGTGCCCTATGTACAGGAAGTTGGGACAGGAACCTCAAGGTTGGATTTGTCATTCACTCACTGTGTCAACTCACTATTTTACGTACTCTATTATTAGGGACTGTTTATAATGAGACCATTTACTTTAGGTACAAACGAGTTGCAACACCTCAACTGCCCCAATTTAAACCTGACAGCTTGTATTCTCCTTTTTTTCTGGGGCCAAAAAGTAAAGGGTCCCATTTTATACTTGCCTTACCTCTATGAATCTGGATATCATGACCTAGCTTTTCCAGTTTTTTTTCTCCCTTCTTAAACTCAAAAAAGTATGTCTTATGGCCATGATTTTGTGAATCTCAGCTAAAACCAAACTTCTAAGATCATGCAGCCCTAATCAAGCCAGATTCTAACATCTCGACTTCCAATATAGCCACTAATCTTTTTACAAATGATGGCCAATATTATTTTTTTGTCTTTGTTAAATTCGTCTACTTGTTACAATGTGGGAGCTTTTTTTGTGGGCAGATTTGGGCCTTTGGAGGATACAGGACAGTGATTTGATCGCCATGAATAGAATCTCTCTCCATTCTTGACCTCAGGTTTCTCTCTTCTGCAAGTGTTTTTAATAAGATTGTATTTTGCATTTTATCCACTGCAAGAGAGAGAATAAGCAGGATTTGAATCGGATACGGTTTCTCCACTGGAAACCAGTGTATCGTAGTTTTATCGTCTTTGTTTGAAGTGGCCCTCTTGAATCTGTTTGCTTTTTGACACTTTTTAACAGTTTCATAGAAAGTTCCTAGTCTTGGAAAATGCGTGTATATTATGTCTTTGCTTACTGTTGTTTCTATTTGATTCATGTTTGTGTAATTTCATGGTCCCTTTTTTTCTTTCTAATACTTTTGAAATGACATTGCATTAATGAAAATAAATCCAATTAAAAAAGGAAAATAGTTTGATAGGGCTGCAGCCCTATCGAAATAAGTAAAGCGTTCCTCATGACTCTCCTCTCCCTTCTCTCTGTGTAGGATGACGGAGCTTACCGATGGGCTTCTTGCTTCTCTCTCTCTAATTTTCTCTCGCTCTCTTGACATGCAAAATAGGATGTCATTTTAATTTTTATTCGAGTAAAAAATTCACTTAAAAAATTCAGGGATTGCAAGATAAGATTTCAAGTAATATTTAATTTTTATTCGAGTAAAAAATTTACTTAAAAAATTAATTCAGGGATTGCAAGATAAGATTTCAAGTAATATTTTTCATCTTTGAGTCCAAAGAGACAGATAAGTTAAAATTAAGAGATATAAAAATATTTTCCCTATTTTTTTTAAATAGCACTAAGAAAATTCTGGTGGTTTTCAATTCAGACAGGTTTCAATATCTCCAAACAAACGATGGTGCTTCAGTTAACTGGTGTCTTTGGTCTACTTGGTTCAAACTTAAATTCGGGTTTGAAGTAAAACCAGTAAAGACTACTGTTTAAATAATTTTAATAAGTCCTGTTCAATTTTAACAAATTAGACCAACCAAGCAAAATTATTATGTACAATTGTTTCATGCAGGGCAGGACTGCATTTCTACAATATGCAGTCCCACGTATAAAGCATCTAAGCGGTCCATCTAAAAACAACTGAAATTAACCGTCTAAATGTTTTTTTAATATAATTATTATTTCTAATTTTTATAATTTATGTATCTTTTCATATTCATGATCGCCATATTAGAGATTACATGTCCTTAATTTATAAGTAAAAAAATCGAGCTCAAAAATATCATTTTAAGAGGCAACTCATTTTTACATGGACCCATAGAAACCATGTCCAATTATTATATCTATTTTTTTCTTCATTTTTTGAAACCAATTCGACCAGTATCATACCCGTTTTAAAAAGCGGAACAATATCCCTCGTCATATTATAAGCCAAACTGATCTTGGTCACCCTCATGATAACATAAACAATTTAAAAAAGAAAATGGTCGAGTCCATGGCAGTTACATCTGTTGATTTGTTTTTAGTTTTTTACCGTTACTTCTAGTTAACTTCTCAAGTAAGTTACTTATATCTAATGGGTTTATATAGTATAAGTCGGGTTCTAAAACAAAGATGGGCAAAAGGATCTTTTGGATGAAGTTTTGCAAAACAAATGATTCAAAACAAAAATTAATCTCAGCTTTTGAATGATTTAAAAAAAAAAGTAAACTTCACCTTTTCAAGACTAGACCTACAATTCAAATAAATGGCAAGCATCTACGAAAGAATAGCATACTCGCTTTCCCCCTTATTCTGTGCATATTCTCTCTCTTTCTCTCTCAATTAAGAAGAACTAGATGAGTTCTACATGTCTAAAATTTGGAATCCAATGGATCACATTCCACAAAGGGGTTACCCTGAATTATATGCCCATTGGCTTATATAATCTCTACTATCAACATTTCCTTTCAGTGCAAGGCTACAAGATGTAAAGAAATACGTAATTGGAAGTCCTAATCCCTCCATGGTGAAGAGAGAGAGAGAAAGAGAGAGAGAGGAGGGGGTATGAGATAGAGATAGAGAGAGAGGAGGGGGGAGGGGGAGAAGGGGGTATGAGAACTCAAAACCAGGAGGTGAGAAAAGAACAAACCTGACAATAGCATAAATCGTAACAATAAACAGAAGAAATATAGGAAAAGTCTTCCTCCAAAAATATACAAGCCATGAATTAGAAAATTCAAGTGGTGTCCACCCCATAATCCATCTTCTCCTGCCTTGGAGCCTAATCTCTCCTTTACATGGAGACCCACAATTTAATTTCTGCTCTCGTTTAATGAGCATCTAGATAGTGGACAATTACAAGAGAGGAAAAAGCATGCAAAAATTTAAAATAATGAAAAGAACAGGTAATGGGCAGTTAAACTAAAATTAATAAAACATGCTTCCCTCACTATAATAAGGGAAATGTTTGTGACCTCAAAAACATATAAGTTTGATCTCACTTCTTAGCCGTTTGATCTGAATTAAATGGCTACTGTTGTTTTTACCATAATGTCACATCAAGCACTATTTTATTTTTTATTTTTTTTTCTAAAATTTTTTTTTTTGATAAAATTTTGGACATCCCTTCATAAGATTAGGGCAAACCTGTAATATATATATATATATATATATATATAATGATCAAATACCCTACCATTTTTTTATCACCAAAATTATTATATCATTTTTATCATGTGCACCCCCGTAAGATATATGCATGCCCCAATTTTTTCTTCAAAATTATGTTTAGGTGAAAAATAAAAAATAAAAAACTATGATAGAACAGTTAAGAGCTAACTTGTCATCTCAGCCCATCTACTCAAATATGACGGCTGCGACTAAGGATCACATAGAGACTGGAGTCGCATAAAAAGTACCCCAATGAATATACTACGCGAAAAAATTCATACAAGTAAGGTGCACTTCAAAACCCTTTTCTCATTAGAAAATTCTCCATTTGATAATCTGACCTCATGGATATGAAAGAAAAACGAATTTTAAGCCTTAAAAAAAATATATCTTGTCCCACGCTATCTGAATCATTCATTTTGAAGGTTCTCAAGTGTTATTAGATCTGCACCATTTTTACAGCTTCAAATTTCATAATTGAGGTGAAAAATAAACTCTTAAGCAATGATGAGAGTTTCGGCACCGAAAATACACCTTTTAACGAGATTTTAAGGTGCACCTTCCCATGATTGTTTCGGGTGGACACCTTATACAAACCTCACCCTAAAGAAAATAACCCCACCGCATAACATGTAAATAATAAGAAGAGAGCAGCTTGTCTAGAAGAGCTCATAGAAAGAAAAATGAAACATGCATGGAGATATCTTTTATTTTGGGTTGTTTTTTTTGGTGGAGAGAGAGAAAGAGAGAGAGAGAGAAAAGTTAACACTCAAAACCATTTTTTCAAGTAGAAGTCTCAAATCAAAACATTGAGATATAACACACAAGTCCTCACCATCAAATGCAAAATAGAAAATCACCAGAATATCCTTTCTTTCCCCCTCCAAAAAAAAAGAAAAAAACAATTAAAAATCTTGAGAAAAGCATGGGTCCCAGTTCAAAGTGCCTTACCATGTTGAAAACAAAAAAAAACAGTACCTGATGTGCCCCTGCTGATGCTCGTATTAGCGCTCCCAACCTTGATCATGTTCATCAGGCTCCACTATCCCATGCTCTCTCTCTCTATCCCTTTCCCTCTCATGATCGCGATCGTCGTCATCCTCAGCCTCCATACGGTCATCATACTCCCTATCCCAGCCATGATCGTGTTCATTCTCATGCCCAGTATGCCCATCATGATAGTCCACATCCCTAGGCTTATCGTCATCCAAATGGTCATACTCCCTTTCTCTGCCCCAGTGCTTATCTCTCTCCTCATTGTCCCTCTCTCTATCTCTAGGCCTTTCACGGTCATAAGACCTCTCCCTCTCTCTCTCTCTAGGCCTCTCACGGTCACGGTCACGGTCACGATCACGCCGATCATATGATCTCTCCCTCTCTCGCTCTCTAGGCCTTTCACGGTCACGATAGTTACGACCACGCTCTCTTTCCCTTTCTCTCTCTCTATCTCTATCGCGGTCCCTATGGTGTCTGTCATCTCGGTCTCGGGTCACCCGCTCGTGGGACCGCTCTTGTGACTTCTCCCTGTCGCGATCCCTATCTCTTACCCGGTCCACTTCCCTCTCCCTAAGTGTTTTGCACAAGAGCATCAAACTGTTAGCTTATCTTCAGAGGAAAAAGAAAATGTTTATTTTGTTAATTTCTTAATGGAGAATGATCTGACTTCAACATACAATTAAATCTCTAGGAGGAATTATGTGCATTTAGCAAACCCAAACCATGGTTAGAACTCCCCGTATAAATCTTTAAATTGATGGGTCACAACCACACACACATAGAGCGACGGCAAGACAAGTGGAGAACCGCAGCAAATATAGAAAGTTACAAAAGGTCAAGTCACCCAAGCTGTCATATGTGAGATCAGGCTGCTGGGGATGTGCCGTTGACCGCATTCAAAGTCCGAGAAATTTTTTCTCGAACTCTGCATAGAATTGACACACCCAAACTGTCCAATTTTATATCTGAAAGCTTGGAATATTTGTGATCATCATGTAATTGTGTTCAAAATGTAACATTCTCATGGTGTATGTGGAGGTGTGTGTGTGTTAATCCTTATTGTAAAATATTACCTAGAAACGTGGCGATCATCTCGTGACCTCGGTTCCTCAGAACGTGATCCTCCTGTGGCTTGCTGAGGTTCCCTGTTGACATATATCCAAATCACGTAACCATTACTAAAAACAATTACCAATGCTGTTCATTCATCTTCTATTTTTCCAATCAACAATCCTGCTCAAAGAAATATTTTTCCAAACAAAAAACAAGAAACGTGAACAAAGAGAATCAAGCCAGTACCCTCCAAGTTATGATTGAGGTCAGCTATACAACAAAAATAATTATAGGGGTAAGCTCTACCGCCAACAGAGACCGAATCTCGTTGCTATAGAGTTTTGAACAGGACCTTTGAATAAAATACTCAAACAAGCAAGCACACTATATCCCAGGCTGAAATTTTTGTGCGGAACAAATAGAGTCAAGATATGGAAATATGGTCCCTAACAGGTACTACTATCATTTACAAAGGCGCCTACAGATCTATATTTGAGTGCCAACAATGTCTTGTTTGCTGTTTTTTTTTGGATCAATGACAGTGAGCTAAATTCCTTACTTCATAGCCAGATTCAATAACCCCAACCCAAGAGGAGATATGAAACTCACACACCAATCATCAGCTTAGATAACTAATTCTATTCCATTTCTACTCCAACCTAATAAGCCTTCAGAGCCCATGCATGTAGGACTGAGAATGGGTTGGATCGGGTCCGGATACACCAGGATTCAGATTTGGATCCAAAAAGTATACATGGGATCTGGATCCAGACCCGATCGGATCCAAAAAAATTATTTTACATTATTTAATTTCTATAAAATAATGTGTAAAAAAATACTACATGTAATTATAAATTATATATAATATATTAATAACTGGGTCGGATCCACCTATACCCAGATTTGATCCAAACTGGTATTTGGGTCCAAATTACTATTCTGATCCAAAGTTTGGATCTGGATCCGACCTATCGAATCCAAATTCTTGGATCCAAAACCAAATCCGAACAGGATCCAAATTTCAGGTTTGAAATCCAAACGGGGCAAATTCTCAGCCCAACCATGCACGCCATATCTATTTATGAACAAACCACTGAACTATTTTGGTATGGGATTCACTAGTGAACAAAAATTCAGCTGCCTTGCTGCCTAGGTGGCTTTTTTTCAAACCGCCTAGTCGTGGGCAAGGTGGCATGCTCTAGGCGGGAAGGTGCCCACATAGACGGCGTACAAGGCGGTCGCCTGGGCACCGACTTGACTTGCACCTTCATTTTGTTGAATTAATACCAAATCAAAAAATCATACTAATTCAATTTTAATTAATATATGGAAGTATTAGACTTTTTATGTCACTTGTCGAAAACGCCTTTTACATGTGTCAATAACCATGAGTAGCTATATTACTTTATTGGTAAACCAAAAAATAGTTTTAATTCAATTTTAATTAATATATGGAAGGATTAGACTTTTTATGCCACTTCTCGAATAAGTTTTTTTGCTCGTAACAGTAACCATGAGTAACTATATTAATTTATTGGTAAACCAAAAATTAGTATTAATTCAGTTTTAATTAATATATGGAAGGATTAGACTTTTTATGCCACTTGAAAAAACTTTTTGCATGTAAAAGTAACCATAAGTAGCTATGTTAATTTATTGGTAAATCAAAAAATGGAATGATTTACTTTTGTTGCCTGCAACAATAACCATGAGTAGCTATATTAATTTAGTGCACTGAAAAGACAAGAATCATCCAAGTCGCCTTTGTGTCTTTGTGGCTGGGTGCCTACCTAGGCAGCCCAGACCCTTGACCGCCTAGGTGGCCGAGTCCATGTTTTTGAACCATGGGATTCACAAACCAACCAACCTCCAACATCAGCACCAGCCTATCCATATACCATGCACTGATCCTCGAGAATTCTATCCTGAAAGCTATCCAGCAGATGAAAACTGAAAGGTATATTACCCACAACAATTTCCTGGATATTTCCTCTCAGGCAACAGAATTATATTCTTCTTCAACAATAAGCAAAATACCAAATTCCTTCTTTCTTTAAACATAAACATGTTCAATTTTACTACTTTCTCAAAAGAAATAAAGGCAATCTGAATTTGCAGGAAGGAAAATTCAGCGCAAATAGAAAGCAAATAACCAGTGGCTTAAAAAATGAATCGATGCCCCAAATCGGGCACCCCAAAAACCAATCCGGACAGGTGAATCGGTGTTTCGGATTAGGAATCGGTGGGAATCGGCAATTTTTCTCCCAAAAAATCTTTAAAAAATCTCTAAAAATAGTGTTATTTTAATTTATAAAAGAATTTAGGAGTGGTGCATTACGTATTTTCATTACTTTGTGAAAATAGATGATTACTAAGACACTATTTTCTATCTGACTGTCTGTATAATTAAAATAAATAAATTAATAAATAAAATTCAAGACTCGGTTATCATTGTAATTAGTATAATTATTAATTATAATATTATAATAAATGTGATTCAAAAAACAAGGGTATGACCCTCACAAATAAATAAATCTAATACATAATAATTAGAGTGGATAGAAATATAGAATTTAAAAATATAAATTTACAATAATATTTTAATAAAATTAAAAAATAAATAAATAAATTCATAATTGCAATGTGAGGTAACTAGTTACAAACACTTCTATATTATAAGATTAAAAAAATTAATTTCTCACATAAATTAGTATCACATCAAAGTATCAAACATTTATTAATTCGTTTTACTCATCTAAAATTATTACAACCTAACTAACTATAATAATATATATTGAAATTGAAGTTGTTGGTTTATAATTTTATATTTTATAATTATTTTACTATACAAATAAAAATGTAAAATGTCTTATAATATCATCTAATTTAAAAAATCTTATTTACAATTATATGAAAAAATAATACATTACAAAATTTATAATATAAATAAATTAATAAATAAATAATATATAATATTTGATTATTAATAAATTTAAAAAATTCATATTTGCAATGTGGGATAATTGATAAAACAACTTGAAATAAATCCTAAACTTGTATAAGTTAGTGTTATTTTTCTATCTTAAAATATCCTCTAAACTATTTTTTTTAATATTCAATAGACTAGAATTAGTATTAATTTTTTGCTTTTTTTAATATCCTATGAGCTAATACTAATTTTTTAATCCTAATTAACTAATTAATTAATTATTAATCATATAATGAAATAATCCCATGAGATAATAACCTAATAGAGTTTTTACGTTTTTTTGGGTAAGTAAATTTAAATTTTTTTTGGTGAGAGATAGAGGTAATGGGCACCCAATTATTATTTTTAATAATTTTTTTTCCTTTTTTATTGTTTAATTTAATTTCTACCATTGGGCATACACCCTTCTTACTCTTGATGGGTGTACACCATCGCGCGTACACCATCGCGTGTACACCACACTATTTTTTTTTTAAAACCTATGGTCCCAACCCGTACACCTGCTTTTTAACTCATTTAGTAGTAGAGTCTTTGTCCCATCGTACAATTAAAACAGTCTTTATCCCATTGTACACCATCGGGCGGTTCTATCAAAAAAGGTGTTGTGGGAAGAAAGACTACTATAAAACAATCAAACCTGCCCATGACTGACGATGTTCTTGTTGCATGGCCACGCATATGCGGGTTGTGCATGCTGACAATAGAAAGTGCTCATGCAGCTTTTAGGAAGCGGTTTTAAGTTGTGACTCGGCGGTTCACTGTATTGAATCGGCGACTCCGGACGGTTTACTGTAGCAACTTGTCGGGTTCTACTCTAAAACCGGACGATTTTGTGTATTTCACTAGAACTAACACGGGGTGACTGATTCCCGTTTCGACTCGGACGAGTCCATTGCGACTTGCCGATTTTTAAAACACTACATATAACAGTGCATATTACCTGCCAGAGTACTTCTGATTAACTTCTTCACCTCCCACCCTAGTTGATCCAAGTCCACCACCCAGTCTGCGAGGACGCCAATTTGGAACAGTTCTACCACGCTCAACATCGACAAGTACCCTTCTATTATCCAGCTTCCGACCATCTGCTTGTTTGTATGCAGCTGCACAAATCAAAATAATCTCATAAACCATTTGTTAACATGACATCCCACTAACCTCTTAAGAGGAGAGAACAAATAAGAGAGAGAAGACATGCGTAAAGCACAATGAAATGAAAACTTCAGATTAAGATAGAGAAGAAAGCAAAAGCTTTTTCTTTCAACTTTGGAATATAGAAAAACCTCTCTAAATGACCTAAAGAAACTCGTACATACTCTTCATGTCACGGGTGTGCACGTACTCAATGAATGCATAACCACGAGGCTTATTCGTAGTTTTGTCATGGATGAGACGAACCTGTACAGTGCAAATACAAAGATTAGAGTGCAATGGCAATAAAGAACAAACTTAAAAAGATAAATAATAGGAAGTTGAATATTTTCAGTCCCTAGATTCTTCTAATCTATAGCCTAGGAACATTTTCAAAACTCTAAATCCTAAATGGCACGGCAGACAGGCACTATGCCTCACTAGCCGTGCTCACCTTTAAGGTGTACAGCTTCGCCAGGAAGGATGCATCGCCATCATTGCAGATTCGAGTTGGCAGAAAAACCCATGAATGTGGCCGATTTACCGGTAGTGCAACAGTTAAACCACCCCCTTACCAGGGGTATTGCTTAAAGTAGTGAACTAAATACTAGAAAGAATCGGGAAAGAGTGGGAAAAAATACCTTCTGAACTGGAAAAGAAAAGTTTTGATCGGCCTTTTGATGTAAAGCTAACATTCACTAAAGGAATTTGAATGAAACATACCAAGATTGTTATTACTGGCAAAGGACGTGTTATTACTCCTGACTCGTGCGTTTACCAGCACCAGGAAACTTAAATAGGGAGAGATGGTCAAATATTCTCTTTTTAGAGCTTGAAAATAAAGAAATGGTTTAGATCTTCCAAATGGGACAATATAAAGAAAACTGAATTGTATACCACCAGAACTCTTACCCAAGCCAAGAGCAACAATCTGAGCCCCACTAGGGGTTGCTCTAAAAATACCTACCCGCTTGATTGGCCCATAGGCCTCAAACTCCCTTTTGATTCGGTGCTCGGTTGTTTCATAATTCTGCAAAATAGATAAAAAAAAATGGACACATTAAAACCATAGTAATATTACATATATAACGCAAGGATAAGTCATGCCCGCAATCAAATAGTGATAACCATTCACAATCCATTTGCTATGAATGAATTAGGTATCCATACATGAGTGTATACACATGTCCACAGTAAAATTGATGGGAATGCATTTGTGCTTGCACGTATGTACCCACAAGCGCATACAAATAAGAGCAACAAATGAACATTCAAAAGAAAAAGAAATAATGGCAAGAAATAACTTACAAGCCTTGCAACAAACAGTGTTTTGTATGGATCTCCAGATATATTAGGGTCCTTTGTAGGATCATCTACACAGACCATTTGGACAAGAGGAAACTTTAGGACAAGGCTCGAGAAAATAGAAAGAGGCCAAAAAACACACTGAGAAGTGTCAGTTGCTATAAGAATAGATGACACTGAGAAATGTCAGTTGCTATAAGAATGGATGACACTGAGAAATGTCAGTTGCTATAAGAATGGATGACACTGAGAAATGTCAGTTGCTATAAGAATGGATGACACTGAGAAATGTCAGTTGCTATAAGGATGGATGACTTACATTTCTGCAGCTCTTCGGCAGCTTTGGCAGCGCCTTTCTCAAGCCGAAGTCCGTGGATTCGTGCCCTTCTTTGTGTCTGCCCAACAAAAATATATCTCTTACAGTGAACATAGTGATAAAGCATCAACACCAATACAGAAGAAGAGGGGGAAAATGATATTCATATTTCTTTCAAGAATCACAGATGCTCATCATGCAGCTCTATCTTCGACTCATGGAATTTCCTCCACGCCTTACAGAAGTTTAAGCGATAGCTTCATATTTTTTTCTCAAATCATGGTATTAACATGATGGATAAAAAAGAGTAACACCACTTTTGAATTTTTTTAAATGTGATAAGTCCATCAAAGTATATGCAAATGCACAGATCATGTACATCAACTATAAATGTGATCCTAATCATACCTGCTTCAAGTTAAGAAACACTCACAGACATTAAGTGTGCTATTATGGTCATAGAAAAATAAATCTATGCGCTAACTCAACTCTCGGAACATGTGTTTAATGAATCCTGCAAATTAATAATTAGAACGAAGAAAATTCCTACAAATTAATTATAACTATCATGGCATCGACAGTTTTGTAGTGAAACACACACACACACACTCACACAAAAAAAAAGAAGCCATAATCATAAATCATAGCATAGCACGTATAGGACATAATTTTCTGAAAATCGAGACCAACAAGGCAATTGCAAAATGCAATTTCTCAATGCCGATAAATATCCTAGAGCATCAGCACTCGAAAACAAATTCTTCAGTGAATTACCATGTGTCTATGTGTTAGCATAGGCACTTGTCAATCAACATTGAAGGTGCAACCAAGGAGCATCTATCATAGCAAGTTTCGTCTTAGGGCTAGAGGCCTATTTTTGAGTTGTTTAGGGTCTGTCCTAAAGCTTTAACGTGTCCATTTGGTCTTTAAGGTGCTATCCCTACACTATTATGTCCCTTAGGTGCTGTATGACATGTGTCCCTTAGTGTTTAGGTGAGAATTCTTGAGGTATTTTGGTTGCTGCCCTAGGTTTCCCATGAGAGGGAATTTGTCCTAGTAGCAATCTATAGTGTAGGAAATGTCCTTCCTTAGGTCCAGATCAAGGCAATGTCATCCATGATTGTGATTGACGCTGGGATCCAGTCCAAGGCCATGGGTATGGTTAAGTTGAGGGTGCTCATTAGCAGTCCATCCAACCAAAGAATTGACCAACATGATAACTCCCTCGGGCAAGTAGTAACTTGCACACATATGTATTTGGCGATGCTTCCCCATAACCCTCCTCAAAAGACTCCCAAGAGAGAGCAGATCAAGGACAGATTGACCAAGGCTTTAAAAGGATCCCAGGAGTATGGGATTAAGACCAATGCGAAACACCTTGATCCTTAGCAGTTCCTCAAATGGTTTGAAAGTATAAATCACTTCTTCAGATGGAAGATCACTGTGAAAAGGGAAGGTCAAAGCTCGTGAGGAAAGGAAGGTGATGTTTGCTGCCATGAAGTTGAAAGGCTTGACAATTGTTTGGTGGAAGCAACTTCACGAATAAAATTCCAAAGAGAAAGTTAGCACTCAGGCCTGAATAAACGATAAACTTCGACCAAAATGCTTGTCATCTGATTATCAGACCACACTTTACCAGAAGATACTTGTTTCGATGCAAGGTACCAAATCTGTAAGAGAATACATGAAAGCACTTAACCTGTTGGGTGCGCATAATGGCATCCAGGAGGGTGAAGAGCAAGCCATGGGTCGATGTGTAGCCATGCTACGTATCATATCCAAGATCAGGTTTCCCTTCATAACATGCCGAGTGTTGGTGATTTCTATGGACTTGCTCTGGAAGTTGAAAAGCATCTCTAGGGTCCTATGAATAGAAAGGAGGATCCTAACTGAGGGTCATCGAGTTCCTCTAGAAACGCTAAAAAACCTGCACATGCTACAGCTACAACACCATTTATGGACCCTCATTCAAGACATCAGCAGCCACTGTTTCGAGACTCGGTTGGGACTACTCGGACTCAGCCAATTTTTAACATGAACCTTCAAGTAGTGCACTGGCTTGTGGGCATTCTTATAGTCCATGACGGTAAGGGTTCGAATCCCTCCTTAATCATCCGCCTTCCTTTCTTTTCTTTTCTTTTTCTTTTTCCTTTTTTTAAAAGAAAAAACGGGAGTTAAAAAAAAAAATTCAGGAAGAGGATTCGTACCTAAGACCTCTTACAAAGGGGTATTATTAGAGCGTACCACTTTAACCAACGTGCGACCAAAATTTCTTTTTAACCAAAAGTATATATCTATTGCCATACTAGTATATTACCTTTTAAAAAAAAGAAAACAAAAATTGAAAATGAGCAGGTTGAGGATTCGAATCCAAATCATCCTGTATGGAGGAACCCCATGGGCGATAGACCTGACCATCAGGCCACTTAAAGCTCAATGTCATAAAAACAAAGGCTATAATATATATAAATTAATTTTTGTGTTGATTTTTTATTATTTTAACTTGAACTATACTCGGGCGAGTTACTCGGGATTGCCCGAGTAACTCGGCTCGGGAAAGGGCTGAGTACCTTGGCCGAGTTGATTTCTGAACACTGTCAGCAGCTAATTTTGGAACAAGATGAGGTGTTTGTGGCCCCATGCCATAAAATAACACCATTAAATGATTTTGGTGTGAAGAATTGGGCCATCAATCAGCCGAATGCCATCATAGATTGTACAAACCTCAAAATAACTTGGTGGAACAAGCAAAAGATGAGGTGTTTGTGGCCCCATGCCATAAAATAACACCATTAAATGATTCTGGTGTGAAGAATTGGGCCATCAATCAGCCGAATGCCATCATAGATTGTACAAACCTCAAAATAACTTGGTGGAACAAGCAAAAGATGAAGGAAATTTGGAGGGCAAAGACATAGGTGACAAGGGACAAAAGGATGATCCTGATTCAATCATTGTAGGAGAAGATCATGGGGTAGAGTTTCTCGATGAGGACAACTTAAAATGAAAATGTATGGCTATTTAGCCTCTCTCGAGGTTTGTCACACCGTTCGTGGCAATCCAATAGAAAGAAAGACCATGACAATTTCTCAAGAGATGGTTGACAACCATCGCTTACAAATCAAGACATAGAATGGTATTCAACATTGCAAGGTTTAAAGGAGTGAACGAGAACCCTATTAAATGGTGATGTCTTGTGAATTTCTCAATAAGGAAAATTCCACAGATGCTATGTGGTGCTATATAGATCCTCCTGAGGTCTGTCACATTTTGTGTGGCCATCCATGACAATTCGATAGAAAGACACACCATGATGGTGAGAAGCGCACTTGCTCCTCCACTAAATATAATAAAAAAGTTACCACAAAAAGATGCATTACAACAGAGGAAAGGAGAAGCAAAACCTCAAGTTTCTCAAAACAAGGCGAGGAAGCTGACAATGCCTTTGAAAAGAGCATTATTTGAGGTGCAGTGAGGAGACGCAAATAGTCAAAGAGTTCAACAATTCCGTGAGAGATTCACTTCATTCAGTTGGAGCACTCCAGAAGATCTTCCTAATGGCCTTCCTCCTATGAGAGATTTTCAGCATTGCATAAATCTCATTCCAAGAGCCAACCCCCCATAGTTGGTCCATTACACGATGAGTACAGCAAAGCATATGCATAGGTAGGTTATGGAAGTCCCAAGAGAAGGACTTGGAAGAGAAATATTGTGTGTGGCCCTTGCATTCTAAACTCCAAAGAAAGATGGCACTTAGAGAATGTGAGTTGATAGCAGTGTTTTGAAAATCGACTCGGCCAAGGTACTCAGCCCTTGCTCGAGCTAAGTTACTCGGGCGAGTCCAAGTACTCGTTCGAGTACAGTTCAAGTAAAAATCAACACAAAAATTAATTTATATATATATTAGCCTTCTTGTTTTTGTGAGTTTGAACATCAAATGACCTGGTGGTCAATTCCTCCGCCCTCAGGGTTCCTCCATGCAAGATGATTTAGGTTCGAATCCTCCGCCCACCCATTTTCAATTTATGTTTTCTTTTTTTAAAAAAAAGGTACTACATAAATAGATATATCCTATTGTTGAAAAGGAAATCTTAGTGGCATGTTGGTTAAAGTGCTAAGCTCTTAGAATACCTCTTTGTAAGAGGTCTTAAGTTCGAATCCTCTTCTTGAATATTTTTTTAACTCTTGTTTTTTCTTAAAAAAAAAAAAGAAGAAAAAAAGGAAAAGGTCTAACAAAAGGATAGCGGATGATTAAAGAGGGATTCAAACCCTCACCGTCATGAACCATAAGTATGCACACAAACCAGTGCGTTATTGGAATGTTCATCTTAAAAATCAGCACATTAGTATATATAACCTATTAAAAATGTGTGTACAATATACTTGGGGCAAACACGCCTCACCCATAGGGCGAGGACGAGTTACTCGGCCGCGTCCGCACAGTCCTGGCCAAATCTCGAAACACTGATTGATAGTTTTGCAACCGTTAAGATTACCATCATGTATAGGTTTTCCCTTACTTGTCTTGATAAAATGCTGCATACGTTGAGTGGCACCCATATTTTATCCAAACATGACCTCAAGAGTATACATGATCATCATATTAACATTCAAACCAAGAAATGATGAACCAAGTTCTATGACCATGCATTGGGAGATTTGCGGTTGTGTACTTTATTGATATTTCGATCTACAAAATGCGTCCACATGACCATTTAGTACACTTACAGCGAAGAGCAAGTAGCATGTCAACCTCATGAAAGTTTCATTTTGTGAGCTACATTGTGTCAAAAGGGATTAAGGTTCGTCTTGCTAAGGTGGACGCTATCAAGAGCTGGCCAACTCAAGTTCTAATGGTGATGTGCGAGGTTTTCACATCCTCACTTTGTTCACTTTAACATCATGGTTCTACCATCACTAAGTCCAGAGCATTTAGATGGACCTAAGAGGTAAAAGAGAGTTTTCAACTAGTGTTATCAAATGCAGTCACATAATGCATTATGTGCTGCATCAAGGCAGATGTGCCCTAAGGTGCACAGCACAACCTCGCATATACAGCTTTTCGCAATGCGCCTGCAT